GGTCCTTTTCCTATTTTTTCTCTCCTTCCCCGATCGACTATGTCGACTAATTCTTTCGAGAGAACAGTGACTGCCGCCACCGTTTCTACTCCGGCCACCACCCCAAACACTCTCTCATCAGCACATCATTTTATATCCATCAAGCTCAACTCCTGCAATTTCTTATTCTGGAGAACGCAGCTCGTTCCCTTTCTCAGAGGACAAGGATTGCTCGGGTTTGTGGATGGTGAAACCCCGTGTCCACCACCCACGATCGCCATCCCTCCATCCTCCGGCGACTCCGGCACTGCGATGACACCGACTGCTGCCACCACCGGTCCCAACCCTGCGTTCTAAGCGTGGGTGCAGAAAGACCAATCTATCATGTCGCTCCTCATCTCCTCACTGTCAGATGAAGTCATGTACCTGGCAGTTGGTCGGAGCACTTCCCGTGAGGTGTGGGAGGCAATCACAGCCGCGTTGGGGTCGTCTTCCCGGGCGAGATGCCTCAATCTATTGGGTCAGTTTCAATCCCTGCGTCAAGGTAATAGCTCTCCGGCGGAATACCTCAGCAAAGCATAGCTGATCGTGGAGGCACTCGCGTTGGCCGGCCGCCCTCTTTCTCTGGACGAACAAAATATGTATGTCTTCAGGGGGTTGCGGCCAGAATTTCGGGCGATGGCGTCGTCTCTCACAGTCACCGGAACACCGGTCTCCATCTCTCAGCTTTCGGATTATCTCCAAGCACAGGAGTTTATCTACTCCGACGATTACCCGGCCCCAACACCGAAGGAGGCGCTGCAAGTTCACCGGCGGCCTTCTTCGCTGGCCGAGGACGCCACCAGTCCGGAGGCGATCATGCTGGAGGTCACAACCGCGGTGGGCAGAACCGTGGTAGACAAGGGCGTGGGCGTGGCGGTGGAGGCCGTGGCCGAGGTGGTGCTCCCCGATGCCAAATATGCCGCTCACATGGGCATACTGCAGTTTATTGCTTTAAGTGATACACAACTCAGCCGCCGGCGCCACAGGCCAATCTCGTTGTAGCCGGCGATGGCAACTCCTCCACGGCAGTCGGTTCATGGTTCCCGGACACCGGGGCCACAGCCCACGCTACATCGGATTCTGCGATGATGTCGCAATCTGAAGAGTACACAGGCAGCGATGTTTTACGAGTCGGGAACGGCGCAGGTTTGACTGTCTCGCGAGTGGGCCATGCATCTATTCCTACTCAGTTTAAATCTCTGTCTATGTCTAATATTTTACTTGTACCCAAACTGTCAGTTCCTCTATTATCTGTACACCGGTTTGAAACTGAAAATAACGTTTACTTCGAATTTCACAAAAATTGTTTTTTTGTGAAGGATTCCGTCACCAAGGCGACACTATTGTCGCGGGCGGATTGTACAAGCTTCCGGTGTCACAATCACATTTTGCGTTCATAAGCTCCCGGGCCACTCCCGGGGTGTGGCATCGCAGGTTGGGTCATCCACATAACCAAGTCCAAAATCGTGTCCTTCAAAATTGTCTCGTTACCAAAAATAAATCTAAGGCGTCGGGGTCGTGTGCAGCTTGCCATCTTGGAAAATCATCGCGTTTTCCATTAGATAGGGTAACATTATCTAGTCAAAATGTGTTAGATTTGCTGTACACTAACATTTGGGGACCCGCCCCCGTTATTTCTTCTTTGGGTTTCCGTTATTTCTTATTGTCTGTTGATGATCATTCCCGATTTTGCTGGTTTTATCCTTTAAAGCAAAAATCAGATATTTATAAAATTTTCGAGTCCTTCCGTGTTATGGTAGAACGCCAGTTTTCACGTTCTATCAAAGCTATTCAATCAGACTTAGGGGGTGAGTACCAAAAGTTACATAAAACTTTCCACTCTCTTGGCATAATACATAGGCAGTCGTGTGCATGCACACATGAACAAAACGGCAGGGTGGAACGCCGCAATCGACATATTGTTGAGACCGGGTTATCACTCCTTGCCGAAGCCTCTGTCCCCTTACAATACTGGGACTATGCCTTTGAAACGGCTGCATGTCTCATCAACTATCTACCCTCATCAGCCATAAACTTCGAAACTCCCTACGGTCGGTTACACAAAGTGTCTCCTCCATACACGTTTTTAAGAGTTTTCGGGTGCCGGTGTTATCCCTATCTCAGGCCTTATAATCGGCACAAGATAGAGTACCGCTCTGCACCCTGTGTCTTCCTAGGATATCCTCCGTCCTTTAGGGGGTATAGGTGCATGGATCTCACAACAGGGAAAGTCTATATCTGTCGTCATGTCCGATTTGACGAATCTTGTTTTCCCTTTTCAGAAACACAGGGCCAGACACAAGCGGTTCCTACTCAGGCACCATGGGCCGCCGGGCCGATTATACCACATGGTGTGGTAACAAACCCCATGCCGTGTGTTACACCATCATCATCAAACCCTACTCCTTTGGCACAGGACCCATCGCCTTTGGCGCTTGAAGCACCTGCTACGGTCCCGGCTAGACGGAAGCGCACCCGTGCGCAACCGACGCTTGACAGGGGTCATGTCATGCGACTTCGTCACATGACTCGTGGTACTAACGAGCCTTTTCATGCTTTAAATATCACCACAGATCCGACATGTTATTCACAGGCAGTTGGTCATCCACAGTGGCGAGATGCCATGGACCAGGAATTCAATACCTTGATCCATAATAGCACTTGGAAACTTATCCCGGCTACACCGGATATGAACGTCATTGGGTGCAAATGGGTTTTTCGTACCAAACGCACCGCTAAGGATCAATCGAGCGCTACAAAGCTCGACTCGTAGCCAAAGGATTCAATCAAGTGGCTGGGGAAGATTTCTTCGACACTTTCAGTCCCGTGGTCAAACCGACAACGGTTCGCTTATTATTTTCTATAGCCGTGTCAAGGGGGTGGACTTTATGTCAGTTGGACGTACACAACGCCTTCTTAAATGGGCATTTGGAGGAAACTGTTTACATGAAGCAGCCTCCCGGGTATGAAGACCCGGCCCACCCTGACTATGTTTGCCACTTGCAGCGCTCTCTGTACAGCCTCAAGCAGGCACCTCGAGCTTGGTTCAAGAGGCTGCATGACTACTTGATTTCAGCTGGTTTCTCTCCCTCCAAGACTGATGTCTCGTTGTTTCACTACAAGTCTGGGGCATCCTGGGTGTTTCTCTTAGTCTATGTGGATGATATCATCATGATGGGTGATGACGCTCCGTTAATAGATGCTTTACTACGGGGTCTATCTATTACTTTCAAGATTCGGGATCTTGGCACTCTAAGATTCTTTCTTGGCATTGAAACATTGAAGCGGGAGGGCGGTCTTGTGCTTTCATAACGCTGCTATATGAATGATCTTCTAAATCGGGCAGGTATGACAGATTGCAAATCTCTAACAACTCCAGCGGCTGTTACACAAGCCGTTTCGCCCTCAGATCAACCGTACGAGAACCCCACGCAGTACAGGCGCTTAGTTGGGGCTTTACAATATCTCACGATCACACGTCCAGATCTCTCCTATGCCGTAAATCGCCTTTGTCAGTTCATGCACGCACCCACAACAGATCATTGGGGACTATTGAAGCGGGTTCTACGCTATGTCAAGGGCACCTTGGATTACGAGTTACGTCTGTCTGCGTCCACCTCCTTCGCAATTCATGCTTTTTCAGACTCGGATTGGGCTGGATGCCCCGTGGACAGGAAGAGTACTAGTGGGTATGCCGTATTCTTGGGGTCTAATATGATTTCGTGGCTCTCCAGGAAACAGCGCACGGTAGCCTGCTCTTCGACTGAAGCCGAGTATAAAGCCTTAGCTGATGTCTCTGCCGAGGTCATGTGGATTGTGTCACTACTTCGTGAACTAGGGTTGCACTCTGGGGATCCTGCCACCCTATGGTGTGACAACTTAGGTGCTACTTATCTTTGTGCGAATCCTGTTTTTCACGCCCGGACCAAGCATGTGGAAATTGATTTCCACTTTGTCAGAGACAAAGTTGCTGCAGGTGATTTTATTGTCAATTTCGTCTCTACGAAGGATCAGCTCGCAGATATCTTCACCAAACCGCTTCCAGGACCGCGGTTCGTGGCTCTTCGTGACAAGCACAATGTGGCTACACACCACCCTTGTGCTTGAGGGGGTGTGTGAATAATGTTGTTATTATTATTATTTATCTTATTATGAACACAAAGTGGACCGAACAAGCTTGAACACACAAGATAAAGAAGACAAATTCCAAACTGGAGGACACAAATTATTTACTAGCAAAAGGGAAGTATCTTTACTAGCAAAAGGAGCTAGAAGACTACAAATAGGAAACAAGTTTCCATATGTCCTACCTACCTAAATCCCTACAACTGCCTAATATATAGAGATTCTATATATCAAATATATATTCTATAACACAATATATAGCCATTAAATATGATATTCATATATAACTAACAAAAGGTCGGTAAATACATTTAGGCCAAGAGAGACCGTATTACATTTGCCTCAATAAAACCTGGGCTCACTCAATCTCATCTATGCGACAAGTAGAGACCTACATAATCACGCAATGACCACCAACAAGAGCAGGTTGAGGCTCTAAGCTCAAAAGGTTCACCGTCGTAGCATCATAGACCAGTGTCCCCTCATGGAAGTTCATTCTTTCGCCCGTCACCATGAACACCATTCCTTCTTGCACGACATAAGTAGTTAGGACAATAATGTCCTCCACTGCTACAGTCGGTGTCGCACCCACGATAAAAATCCGGTCGTTGACGCTTAATAGGGCGTCCCCTATAAATTAGATGCCTCCTCTGCCCTGTAGGTTGAGGCTTCCGAACTGAACATACTACATACGATAGGAGGCTAATGTTGGAGACGCCATTTCCGACGGGGACAAGAGGTCTGCCGCCGGATTGTTCCACCGGCATTAACGGTGGAATGTAGGTAGCTTGGAGTGCAAGATTACGATGCGAGGCAGAGGCAAGAGAGGTGAACGAAACAGAGGAAGCGCGGGGGTGGGGGCGGCTCGTAGATGGAGTTCTTCCGAGAAAGTTGAAAAGTGACATTGTGTTTTGTAAATTTGAGCTATGTAAAAGTTAAAGTTAGAGTGAAAAGCTCCGCGCTTATTTATTGGGCTGCTAGTCTGCTACTGCCCGAATCAATTCTGTAACGATACACTTCACCCTAAATACATTTAGGCCAAGAGAGACCGTATTACATTTGCCTCAATAAAACATGGGCTCACTCGATCTCATCTATGTAGTAAAGACAAGTAGAGACCTACATAATCACGCAATGACCACTGACAGAAGCAGGCTGAGGCTCTAAGCTCAAAATTGACAGCATCAAAGCATAAAACGAGACAACTACAAAACGAAACAACAAAACGATATAGGATCATAACGAGACAGAATCAAAACACAAAACGAGATAGCACTAAAACAAGACAAACTGACCGTAGAACAAAAGGCAATGGTCCAAAGTAAGTCCATAACCATGGCAAACGGACTTAGGCGACCTAGGAACATGTTGACCAAAATATTTTCCAATCGTTGGATGAGCCTCACGCGCTAGTCAGAACGGAACGACAACGGAGCGAAAAATTATCGTACTGGCTCTGATACCATGTTACAAAAAATCATATTAGTATTAGCAATAAGATGGAATATATTGATACCCGTTTTTAATTAGAGATCGGAATGAAGTTTTTAATTGAAGGGGCCTGGTAATCAAATCAAATCTCATATATAGTTGTATTTTAAAATTAAAGTAGTCAACCAAACGCTAACAATATATGATTTTAATTGATTCTCAACCCATTAACTAAACATACCAGTCTAGTTTATTAATGGTACGGTATATTTATTTTGTGTGCACTTGTGTAAATGGCAAAGATGGTAGGGGGCTTGCTCGGAGTATAAGTCAAGAGGAGCATGGTTCAAATCCTATTGAAAACACTTTTTAGAAGCCATATATATATATATATATATATATATATATATATATATATATATATATATATATATATATATATATATATATATATATATATATATATATATATATATATATATATATATATATATATATATATATAGAATCCGGATCAGGTGAGGACCTAATCTTAGGTGAGGACGTGAGGACTAATCTTGTGCGTTTGTTTTTTTATTTGGATGGTCCAGATTTGAGTTTTTGAGATGACATGGATTGATCTTTTTTGTTAAAGTGGGATAATAGTGTCTTTTTCTATTTTTTTTAAGTGTGAACGCATGTATAATCCTTGGCCAAATTGGTTTCCTATTTTCTTGGATCATCACCGTTGCAATTTGGAGCCGCGATTTCTTCATCATTAATTGAGTGTTCGCCCATGCAAACTAACCAGTATTTTTTATTTTTTTTCTCTTGTTCTTTTGAGTATAATATTGTCTATATTTGGATTGTCGTGTATATGTATAAATGCCTGGGTAGAATGATTGTGCATTCGTGTGTGCTGATTGTGCAACCTAGTGTTGTAAGTTGTGCACTATAGGCTAGGGAGTTGTGCATTATAGCACATAGTTCAATGCATCGTAGAACATTGGATGTTCACTGTATGATTTTTTGGCGGGGTTTGAATGCACAACAATGAAGTTATTGATGCACAACACTCAGTATAGGAATGCACAACATTTTGTATAGCAATGCACATCTTTTAATAAGACTGATTTACCCTAAATTTATATATTTTAATATTTTAAAGGGATTTGTTTTCTTAATCCGTGTGATTTGTTTCTTTTAATCTCAGTCATACATCATTCTGATTTAATGGTCTAGATTAGTCCTCACGTACTCACCTAAGATTAGGTCCTCACCTGATCCGGACCCTATATATATATATATATATATATATATATATATATATATATATATATATATATATATATATATATATATATATATATATATATATATATATATATATATATATATATATACACGTGAGGAAATAAGCTCTAATTTGCACATGTAGTTTAATAGCAGATCATAGAAGAGAGTTAAAACAAAAAATAAAAAATAAAAATGTTCTACCAAACAGCCATAAAGTTATTTAAATATTTACTATATATGTTTCATAATCAATTAAACTACTCAAAAAAAAAAAAAAAAAGAGGGACGAGGTAGCTTGGAGTGCAAGATGCGAGGAAGATGCACGAGAGGTGAAGGAAACAGAGGAAATTGTGGGGCGGGAGTGCCTCGCAGATGAAGTTCGTCTGAGACTGAAGAGCCACATTTGTTTTGAAATTTGAGTTATGTAAAGTGACAGAGTGAAAAGAATTTAAAGTTAGACTTAAAAGCTCCGCCGCCCTTATTTAGACTGAGCTGCTAGTCTGCTACTGGGGGATGGGGTGGGGTGGGGTGAGAGGGGGTACAAGTTGTTAAGGCAGTTATGGTCCTTTTAATGATAATGCCCTCCGAGGGTGTATGAAACTCAACACAAACGTACACTTGTAATTTGCAGTAATAATAATAATAGTTCTAATTGCCAAGCACCTTCAGATGGCATGTAGTGACTTCTCCCCCGTAGGAGGTCATGAGATAAACCTGGGCTTACTCAATCTCATCTATGCACTAAAGACAAGTAGAGACCTACATAATCACGCAATGACCACCGACAAAAGCATGCTGAGGCTCTAAGCTCAAAACGAGACAGCAACAAAACATAAAACGAGACAACAACAAAATGAGATAGAATCATAACGAGAAAGAATCAAAATACAAAACGAGATAGCATTAAAACAAAACAAACTGACCGTAGAATAAAAGACAATGGTCCAAACTAAGTCCATAACCAAGGCAAACAGACTTAGGCGACCCAGGAACAGGTTGACCAAAATGTTTTCCAATCGTTGGATGTGCCTCACGCGCTAGTTAGAACAGGACGACAACGGAGTGAAAAATTATCGTACTGGCTCTGATACCATCATACTGGCTCTGATACCATCGTACTAGCTCTGATACCATGTTACGAAAAATCATATTAGTATTAGCAATAAGATGGAATTGTCTATATATGCAATTGAGCTAATTTATTTGATTGGATAGATGGAGAACTATATATGGTGAGCATATATATATATATATATATATATATATATATATATATATATATATATATATATATATATATATATATATATCAGATACATTAAAAGAGAGCCCTAACCACAAGAATCCAGAAATACTGGGAATCATATATAGCTATTAAGTCTTGTATTCATATATAAGGTATACATTTAGGCCTAATAGAGACCTTATAACTCATTTATTTTCATCTATGCAGCGACCTACCTAATCAAGCATAGACCACCAATTTCATCCATTTATACCAATATATAGTCATTAAAGCATAGACCTACATAATCAAGCGGACCACCAATTTCATCTATCTATACCAATATATAGCCATTAAAGCATAGACCTACATAATCAAGCGGACCACCAATTTCATCTATCTATACCAATATATAGCCATTAAAGCATAGACCTACATAATCAAGCGGACCACCAATTTCATCTATAGCAATATATAGTCATTATATCTTATATTTATATATAACTAAAAAAAGCCCTAATCTCATCTATACCTACATAATGACGCAATGACCACCACGAGCAGGCTGAGGCTCTAAGCTCAGAAGGTTCAGCATCCTCCCATCATACACCAGGGTTCCCTCACGGAAGTCCATTCTTTGGCCCGTCATTGTTATCACCATTGCTTCCAGCACAGCATAAGTAGTTACGACAATAATGCCCTCCCCTACTGTTGCTCAAGTCGGTGTACCACCCATAATATAAACCCTGAGATTGACGCTTAACATGGCGTCTCATGTAAAGTAGATGCTTCCTCCGCCCTGTTCTAGGTTGAAGCTTCCACTGTGAACATAGGATAGAAGGCCAATGTAGGCCATTTTATTTTCGGCGGCGAGGACTTGGTCCACCGCTGGGGCACGAGGTCCTTGGCCGGATTGTTCCACCGGCAATGGCGGTGGAACATAGGTAGCTTGGAGTGCATGCGAGGCAGAGGAACGATAGGGGAAGGAAACAGTGGAAATGCGGGGGCGAGTTTGCCTCGCAGATGAAGTTCGTCGGAGAGAGCTAAAAACGACATTTGTTTTGAAATTTGAGCTATGTAAAGTGAGAGTGAAAAGCAGTTAAAGTTAGACTTAAAAGCTCCTCCGCCCTTATTTAGACAGAGCTGCTAGTCTGCTACTGGGGATGGGGTCAGAGGGTGTACCAGTTGCTAAGGTAGTTATGGTCCTTTTCATGATAATGTCCTCCGAGGGTGTATGAAACTCAGCCCAAACTTATGGCATGTAGTGACTTCTCCCCTGTGGAAGGTCATGAGATAAAACCTAGACTTACTCAATCTCATTTATGCACTAAAGACAAGTAGAGACCTACATAATCACGCAATGACCACCGACAAAATCAGGCTGAGGCTCTAAGCTCAAAACGAGACAACATCAAAGCATAAAACGAGACAGCAACAAAACGAGATAGGATCATAACCAGAACGAATCAAAACACAAAATGAGATAGCACTAAAACAAAACAAACTGACCGTAAAACAAAAGGCAATGGTCCAAACTAAGTCCATAACCAAGGCAAACGGACTTAGGCGACCAAGGAACAGGTTGACCAAAATGTTTTTCAATCGTTGGATGAGCCTCACGTGCTAGTTAGAACAGGACGACAACGGAACGAAAACTTATCGTACTGGCTCTGATACCATCGTACTAGCTCTGATACCATGTTACGAAAAATCATATTAGTATTAGCAATAAGATGGAATTGTCTATATATGCAATTGAGCTAATTTATTTGATTGGATAGATGGAGAACTATATATGGTGAGCATATATATATATATATATATATATATATATATATATATATATATATATATATATATATATATATATATATATATATATATATATATATATATATATATATATATATATATATCGGTTACATTAAAAGAGAGCGTCAACCACAAGAATCCAGAAATACTGGGAATTATATATAGCTATTAAATCTTGTATTCATATATAAGATAGGTAAATACATTTAGGTCCAATAGAGACCGTATAACTCATTCAATTTCATCCATGAAGAGACCTACCTAATCAAGATCACCAATTTCATCTGTCTATACCAATATATAGCCATTAAAGCATATACCTACATAATCAAGCAGACCACCAATTTCATCTATAGCAATATATAGTCATTATATCTTATATTTATATATAACTAACAAAAGCCACAATCTCATCTATACCTACATAATGACGCAATGACCACCACGAGCAGGCTGAGGCTCTAAGCTCAAAAGGTTCAGCATCCTCCCATCATACACTAGGGTTCGTCACGGAAATCCATTCTTTGGCTTGTCACCGTGATCACCATTGCTTCCAGCACAACATAAGTAGTTAGGACAATAATGCCCTCCCCTACTCCTGCTCCAATCGGTGTCTCACCCACAATATAAACCCTGACATTGACGCTTAACAGGGTGCCTCCTATAAAATAGATTTTTCCTTCGCCTTGCTCTAGGTTGAAGCTTCCGCCGTGAACAGATGATAGAAGGCCAATGTCGGCCATGCCATTTTCGGCGGCGGGGACACGAGGTCCGCGGTCGGATTATTCCACCGGCAATGGCGGTGGAACATAGGTAGCTTGGAGTGCATGCGAGGCAGAGGGACGATAGGGGAAGGAAATAGAGGAAATGCGGGGGTGGTAGTGCCTCGCAGATGAAGTTCGTAGGAAAGAGCTAAAAAAATGACATTTGTTTTGAAGTTTGAGCTATGTAAAGTGACGGAGTGAAAAGCAAATTAAGTTAGACTTAAAAGGCTCCGCCGCCCTTATTTAGATTGAGCTGCTAGTCTGCTACTGGGGGTGGGGGTGGGGTGAAGTGAGAGTGGTACTAGCTGCTAAGGTAGTTATGGTGGGGGAGGGGTGGAGTGAGAGGGGGTACTCGCTGCTAAGGTAGCTATCAACTTTTTCATGATAATGCCTTCCAAGGGTGTATGAAACTCTGCACAAATGTACACTTTTAATTTGCATAATTATAATAATAATAATAATAATAATAATAATAATAATAATAATAATAACTAACAAGCACCTTCAGATGGCATGTAGTGACTTCTCCCCTGTGGGAGGTCATGGGATCAAACCTACAAACATACTGTTAGCACATTTTCTCAGATGGCATTCCCAAATGGGAGAGGTCACTATATGCTATTTGAGCACAGGGTGCTTAGCTAATAAGAGTAATTTAATACATATATTTTGCATGTATTTTTTTTAGTAAGCTTTATAATGCATTATGAATTGTAAAGATTATTTAACTTAATTAATTAATTTAGGTGCATGAAATATATTTTGTGATTCACTTATGGAAAAAAAAAAACAAATTAGAAAATGTTGTTTTTTTTTTTTTATAGGGAAAATGGCACTTTTTCCCCCTTAGTTATATACATATAGCATTTTTCCCCCCTGAATTTTTCAAGTGGCTCTTTTCCCCCCTGAAATGTTAGATGGACATATTTACCCTTAAAATAAATATTTCATTTATTTTTCTTCTCCAACAAACTATGACCACGATTCGGTTCAAACTGAACAGACACTATAACAACTAAACTGAAATATTCCAATTACAATTTAGAATCAAAACTTGATATTTAGAGTTTATTAAAATTGCGAACCGGAATGGCCGGTTCATGTTCCGAACTGAAAAAAATAAATTACATTTATTGTTGAATTTAGAGTATTTTAAAATAAAAATAAAATGTTAAAATAAAGACGATTCAAAATCGCCAACCGGATCCGGAACCGCCGGTTCACGGTTCAGAATCCAATTTTTTTGATTCGTAATTTTAATGAATTGAAATCTAAATATTGGATTCTGGATCTGAATCATAATCGGAAACTTTCAATTCGATTGTTATAGGGCCCGGTTCAGTTCGAATCGAACCGTGGTCATCCCTACGTATAAGCAATAATTTGTTGAAGAATAAAAATAAATAAAATGTTTACTTTAAGGGTAGGAATGTCAATTTAATATATTAGGGGAAAAAATTACCACTTTTAGAATAATTGAGGGGGCTAATGTGCTTACATAAACAACTCAGGGGGAAAAAGTGCTATAAGTATATAACTCAGGGGGAAAAAGTGTCATTTTCTCTTTTTTTTTTTTTTTTTTTTTTTTTTTTTTTTTTTTTTATTTATCATTTATGAATCATCTACTCAATGTAATTTAGAAGTTTCTATTATGTGTTATCATATTTAAATTACTCTATAAAAACTTGAAATAGATATAGCTAAAATAAAAAGTATTTTTAAATATCATATCGATATAGTGTGTGATTTATAATGTTTTCTATTCAAATCATTTTATCCAATTAATTACGTTTCATATTTTGTTATAAATAATTTTTTCGCGTTTTGGAATATTTTAATTTCTTGGCCCTATTCAATTTTTTTTTTTTTTTTAATTCGGTTGGAGTGAAAAGCTCCACCCTTCGGTTATTCATCCAAGTGGATGGTCAATGGTTCAAACCCATCTAACCTATCCTAACAGTCAAAAATATTTCTTATAAATATTTTAGAGAGACATCGGAAAAAAAGAATTAATGTGGCAATTAAGGATTTGAAAGTTCGTCGAATCGAATAGGGATGGCAATGTGTCCCGCACCTGACGGGGATCCCCGTTCCCCGCCCCGATAGAGATGGGGATGGAGATATTTTTCGGGGAACGAGGACGGGGACGTGGACGGGGATGGGGATACCCCTCCCCGCCCCACCCCGTCCCGTCCCGTCCCTGAATAATTATATATATATATATATATATATATATATATATATATATATATATATATATATATATATATATACTTAGTATTTTAAATTTTGAAACAGAAGTTAAATTTTAATTTTTTTATTATTAAAATGTACAATTATTTAACATTTTGACTAGAAGTTGAAGGGGAATGGAGAATTCCTGTCCCGCTTAATTCCCCGCGGGGACGGGGATGGGGAGTATTTTCAATTCTCCGCCAGGAACGGGGACGGGGATGGGGACGGGACCGCGGGGACGGGAACGGGGAGTATACTCCCCGCCCCGTTGCCATCCCTAGAATCGAATATGAAAGTTTTAATAATTCAGGACCAAATGTGGAAATAATCGTGGGACCAAAAGTGGAAATAACTCAATATAAAAATAAAAAATAAAAAATGAAGGCAATTTAATTGGTCTTAATATAATGACATCCAATTTAAAACACCAATATGAATTTTTTTAAAAAATCAAAATAAAAATCTAAAAGCATTAATCCAAACATAAAAATCATATTAGTATTAGCAATAAGATGGAATATAATGATACGCGTTTTTAATTAGAGATCAGAATGACGTTTTTAATTGGAGGACCGAGTAATCAAATCAAATCTCATATATAGTTGTATTTTAAAATTAAAGTAGTCAACCAAACACTAACTACATATGATTTTAATTGACTCTCAACCTATTAACCACATAACAGTCTAGTTTATTAATGGTATGGTATAGTTATTTTGTGTGCACTTCTGTAAATAGCCAAGATGGTAGGGGGCTCGCTTGGAGTATAAGTCAAGCGGGAGCATGGTATAAATCTTATTGAAAACACTTTTTAGAATCCATATATATCTCTACACATGAGGAAATGAGCTCTAATTTGCACATGTAGTTTAATAGCAGATCAGATAAGAGAGTTAAAAGAGTTCATCCAAAAGACTAGTTCAATAAGTAAGAAAATGCCTCAAGGTTACATACCATTCCACAAATTCTTTTTTGCAGAGTCGAAGTGGAATCGTATCAGTATCTTTAGCAAACCCTGCAAATGTTCACATATCAAACCACTATAACAGCAAGTATCATTAGCAAACTCTGCATATGTTCACAGCCCCAGCAAGTATCCTTAGCAAACTCTGCATATGTTCACAGCCCCAGCAAGTATCCTTAGCAAACTCTGCATATGTTCACAGCCCAACTGCTATAGCAGCAAACAGTGTGGGTAAAAGAAGTACAGGAAATCGAAACAACAATTCAGTATCTCTTTATTTTCTTGTAAAAGTGAATACACACACTCAAAGTGAAAATAAAACAACAAAAATAATCATCATTTAAAAGTTGTCTATATCCTTTAAATAGGTAAATAAGAAGACAACACTACAGGCAATGAGAGAAAAAAGAAATTTCCTTTTATGCTAAGTTACACTACACAATGTAGTTCAGTAATGAAATATAGATGCACAACAACACTTCAGAATCTATTGCTCAATGGTACATCGCGACTAAACTCAAGGAGATGGATCTGTGGGGTACAATTTCTTAAGAACTACAGTTTTAGGGGCATTTCTTCTTACCCTTTTCTCCACTTTGGATTCAAAATAAAATCATCATCATCATCATTGCTATCGTTGTTTAAACGTTTCTTTGCTTTTATTTCACCATTTTTTGAAACCTGTTGTGGTTGTTTTGAACTCCCAATTGATACTGGCCGTGTTGGCTTCCTCTGTTTTTTCTCAAATGCCTTCTTTGCTCTTTCGGGTGACAAGAAGCCATGTTCCATCAACCTGCAAGTAAAGCACTATTGATTAATTTGGCTGAGTAAAGAAGAACAAGAAAAGACGGAAGGGTATACATGAAACAAGATTAATATTGCACAGCATGAAAGT